ATCCCAGGGAATCCAGCACATCCATCCCAGGGAATCCAGCACATCCATCCCAGGGAATCCAGCACATCCACCCTGGAGAATCCAGCACACCCATCCCAGGGAATCCAGCACATCCATCCCAAACCCTCCTGGGTGGCACTGCAGGGAAATCAGGTGTCCCATGATCCAGCTGGGATGTCACACACTCCAAGCCCCACTCTGCTCCCAGGGATTTGAGATGGAGTTAGGAAGTTAAAATACAGATAAATCAAGTATTATTTTATACCTCCCCTGAATCCCAGGAAGTTTCCAACCCCAGTCAGGCTGGAAGAATTCCTAAAGGGACTCTTGAGCTATTCAAGCCCATAATTTGTCCAAGAAATGACCTTGAGTGACTCGTTTGCCCCAAGAAATGAGGGAGGAAAGCTCAGGAATTCTGAGGGTCATTTGAGTTCTTTACAATCCTAAAAATCTATTACAAAATCAATAATTTACAATTAATATTAATTAATTAAGAAAACAAGGCACTAATTTGTCACTGTTGAGGCTTTGGGTTTGGTTTGAGCTCACCAGGAAAAACAAAGAAATATTAAACAGAGTGTTCTGGGATTTCCAATTTCACACGGTTTTGCAAGGAAAAGAACATTTATGGGGGAAAAAAAAGGCATTTCAGAAGGATATCTGTGAGCATCCAGGTGTGCAGCACCTGCACAGGTGAGATGGGAACCAAGACAGGAACACTGAGCCAGGAATTCCCCCCCATCCCTGTTTCCTGCCAGCTGGGAACAGTGTCCAGGCCCGGCAGTACCTGGGAAGAGGGGCTGGATTGTTCTCCCTCCTGCAATCCTTGGGATGTTTATTTTTCTTCCTTCCCCTCCTGCTTTTTGTTCCTTCTATTTGCCTTTTGTTTCCTTTTTTTTCCTCCCATTTTTTCCTTTCTGTTTTCCCTTTTTCCCCCCTTTTTTTTATTTTTTATTTTTTCCTTTCATTTTCTCTTTTTTATTTTCCCTTTTATTTTTTCCTTCCCCATTTTCCCTTTCGTTTTTCCCTTTTTTCTTTGTATTTTTCCCTTTTTCCCTTCTATTTTCCTTTTTCCTTATTTCCCTTTTTCCATTCTATTTTTCCTTATTTCCTTTTTCCCTTCAATTTTCCTTTTTTCTTTTCATGTTCCTTTTATTTTCCCTTCCCCCCTTTTCCTTTCTCTTTTTATTTTCCTCTTTTATTTTATTTTTTTCCCTTTCTCCCTTTTGTTTTCCCTTCCCCCCCTTTTTCCTTATTTCCCCTTTTCCTCTTTATTTTCCTTTTTTCCTTTTATTTTGCTTTATTTCCCCTTTTCCTCTTTATTTTCCTTTTTTTCCTTTTGTTTTCCTTTTATTTCCTTTTTTGTTCCTTTTCTGTTTTTCCCTTCTTCCCCCCAGGAATGCTGGCCAAGCACTGCTCCCCCCCTCCCAGCCAAGGAAAGCTCCATGCAGGGATATTTTATAGGGAATATGCAGAGCCAGCTCCACCTGTATCCCTGGAAAAGCCACATTTTACCCTTTATTCCCTTCTCCCTCCCCATTCCCAGTTGATTCCTCTGAACCTGCTCATTCACATTTCAAATCCAGGGAATTCTTTTGGAGCCACACTAAGTTTTAAGCTCCAACTTCTAAAATTCCCCCTGAGGCACTTCAAGACACACAAAAAAAGGGCCATTTTCAAATGTTATAACGGACATGACTCATTTTTGCTCCTTAATATCTTTGAATATATTTTTAAAAGCTTTAAAGCTCTTAAAGAGCTTTTATAGTTCTATTACATATATGATATTATATATCAAATGGCTCTCTATATAAGAGTTAAACTATATTTAGGGAGAGCCCCTCAGCTCGGCAGCAAAGGGCACTGCTGGATGCTCCTTATTATATTTATATATTATATAAATGCATATTTGCATGTAATTATTAAATATTGTTAAATATATTGCATAAAACATCAATATTATTAAATATAGATTAAACCTATGTTTTTATGTTATATAAATAAATGATATTACGCTGTAATGTTATTTTCTATATATTTATACATCTTTGATGTGATATTTCACAGTGTTAAAGCCATTACAGGGCTGGTTTGGGGGTTCTTTAGGAGCACAGGATTTAGGGGCTCGGGGGGGGGTTCTGCAACCCCCAGCCCTGACATCCTGAGTGCCAAATCCCATCGGGAAACAGGGATTTGGGCCCAAACAAGACAACTTCGGGAGCCCACGATGGGGGATGAGCTTCTGCTGCCAGGGCAGAGGGGACAGAGGTGGGGGGATCCAAGGGGGGTCACCCCGGGCAGGGGGACCCTGCCCAGCCCTGCCTGGCACCCACATCCCGGGCAGAGCATCCCACATTCCCTGCACATCCATCAGAGGGCAGGACACCCACCCCGAGGGCAGGGCACCCACATTCCCTGCAAAGCACCCGTCCCGAGGGCAGAGCACCCAGATTCCCTTCCCAGCACCCACATCCCGGGCAGGATACCCACATTCCCTGCACAGCACCCCGGATTCCCTTCCCAGCACCCACCCCGAGGGCAGGATACCCACATTCCCTGCAGGACACCCACCCCAAGGGCAGAGCGTCCAGCCGAGGGTAGGACACCCACATTCCCTTCCCAGCATCCATCCCGAAGGAAGGGCACCCGTATCCCTGCCAGGACACCCACATTCCCTGCACAGCACCCATCCTGAGCGCGGGACACCCATCCCCAGGGCACAGCACCCACCTGAGGGCCGGGGCACCCTGCGGGATGCTCTGCCTGCGGCAAACGTCACCCGAGCCGGCCCCTTCCACCCCCTCCATCCTGCCTCCCTTCCACCCCCTCCATCCTGCCCCCCTCTCCCCCATGGATCAGATGGATCCGCGGCCGCCCGAGCGACGCTCAAACAAACACTGGATTTTTCCAGGGCAGGGTTTTCCACGTCTAACCCCGGCACTGAGCTGCCCATGGAGTTCACGCTCCGCAGAAACAAAAGTTCCGCCCGGCTGGGCTCGGGGTTGCCCAAAAAGCTCGGGATTATGCCCGGAAGGCAGAGAGCTTTCCTCCTCACCGGCTCGCCCAGGAATTTGAGCTACAAAGGATTTACTTGTCAGGGAAACGGAGCATTTTATAGGAATCTATAAATATGCATTTAAATCCTGCGCTGAGGAGCAGAATTATCTCCAAGGAAGTTGAGAATCCCGGTGGCTCAGCCCGCAGCCTGAGGCTCTCCGAGGTGGTCCCTGCTCCAGGAAAACAGGACGGGAAGGCTGGGATAGCAGCAGAAGGACCCAAAAATGATCTAAGATCATCTCGTTCCAAATCTTGGCCCTGGGCAGGGCCACCTTCCACTAGACAAGCTTGCTCCCACCGCAGGGACAAGGGGGCAGCCCTGGCAGGAGGGAGGGATGGCACAGCTCTGCTGTCGGAGGCTCCGGCAGCTCTGGGACAGGGAGGGGATGGTGGGATGAGGGGGTGGTGGGATGGGGTGGTGGGATGTCCCCAAGGGACCAGCAGCGGGGCCACGGCTCTTTCACAGATCATCAAGGCTGGAAAAGCCCTCCAAGACCATCGAGTCCAACCATCCCCCAGCGCTGCCAAAGCCACCGCTGACCCCTCTCCCCAAGTGCCACATCCACACGGCTTGGAAACCCCTCCAGGGACGGGGACTCCAGCACTGCCCCGGGCAGGACAACTCTTCCCACGAAGGAATTTTCCCTAACACCCGACCCTCCCCGGGGCCGCGTCCCTCACCTTGAGCAGCTTGCAGCGGATCTGCGCCGAGACCATGTGGCTGTTGCGGAGGTTTCCCACGCGGAACATGAGGGTGAGCTTCCCGTCCCGCATGGAGATGGCGGCGTGCTCGCTGAACATCAGCGTCTCGGCCCTCTTCTTGGGCTGGGACATCTTGATGAACATGCAGCCGATGAGGAAGGCGTCCACGATGGAGCCCAGGATGGACTGGAAGAGGAAGAGGATGATGCCCTCGGGGCACTTGTCGGTGATGTAGCGGTAGCCGTAGCCGATGGTGGCCTCGGTCTCGATGAAGAAGAGGAAGGCGGAGGGGAAGTTGTACACGTTGGCCACGCAGGGGGTGTAGCTGTCGTCGTGCGCCTTGTTGAGGTCGCCCCGCATGTAGGCGATGACCCACCACATGGAGGCCATGAAGAGCCAGGCCACCGTGTAGGTGAGGATGAAGATGAAGAGGTTCCAGCGCCACTTGAGGTCCACGAGGGTGGTGAAGAGGTCGGACAGGTAGCGGCTGGTCTCGCCGCCCAGGTTGCCGTGCTGGACGTTGCAGCGGCCGTTCTTGTCCACGAAGCGCTGGCGCTTCCCGCGGGGGGCGGCCCTGGGGGGCGGCAGCCCCGCTCCGCTGGCCGAGGTGCTCACCACCTGGTAGTCGTCCCCCAGCTTGCGCCGCAGCGCCGACATGCTCCGCGCCCCCCCCCGCAAAGCCCCGCCGAGCCCCCGCAGCCCGGCCCGGCCCCGCGGAGCCTCCGCTCGGCGCCGCCGCCGCCGC